TAAATCGATTCAAAAAGAAAGTATATTGATGCTTAACATTTTATTATACAGTCTCGTAAAAAAATTGAATAATAGTACACAACAAGGTGATTAACATTTTATTGCATGTTTAACAATTCTCATAGTACCGAATTAATATGGAAATTGAGTTCATATTACCGCTTTTTTTAATTACAATATTTATCACGCATCATGTCATAGCAGCTTCACTGACCGTTGATATATTGGCAGTTGTTATACATTTTCATTATAAATTTGAGTGAAATTTTCGATTTAATGTTTGCGAAAAATGGCCATTGCTGGAAATGAGGAAATGTGAACAACAACGGAAAAAAGCATAAAAATCACTGAGTGAAAATTATTTCTTTAATAAAAAAATCTGAGACTTTATAAGGCATGATAAATTACAATGCATTATAATCAACAAAATTTTTATTGTTTATTGCAAAATTTAATGATATTAATTTTCGAGATTTTATTTTGTAAATTGATACAAATTTTCCTTATTAAACATGTCGGCTGTACCTATAAATTGCTATAAAATGTGCTATAAGTGGGCACAATACAGCACATTAAAAAGTTTAATTACATTTTGTTGTTTTAAATCACCGTCCTGATCATGATAAAATTAAACTTTTTTTTATTGGAATAATGAATTTTGCTTGGACATAAAAGTTTTTATTACTAAAATTTGTTGAATGCAAATGGGAGTTTCTTGGAAGTGTCCTGTCAAGCCTTAGTCATGCGAAATTTTGTCACGGAATTTTAAATGTCATTGTGTGCTGATCCTTATCAGAAAATAACATGTGAACTTATTACGCATGGAAATTGTGCTTAGTGTACTTAAGGACACTCAAACATCACTTATGGACGACCCTTTATATTCAGCAAATGATCTGAACCTTCAAAACACCCATTTCCTTGATGAAAAATTACAATAATTTAAATATTCTGTCTGCATTTTCCCCCAAGGCTACAGTAAGGCACACAAGAATAAATAATCAATTTCTCAAGTGTCATCCGAAGTGCGCCTTTTCATTTTAATGTCATTAACAATTTTTCGCTCATTCTTTTGTTGCTTTTCACGCCTGACCTCATCATGTCCCTTCCCATAACATCATGACAATTGAGTTTAAAGGATATAAAAAAACAGCAATGAATGAAGATGTAAATCACGATCATTAATTGTAAAGCTTGATTATGACTCACACAAAAAAAAAGTTCATGACCATCAACCCGCATCAAGAAATAATAAGTATCAACAGATGTCCGACTGCTTGTTACAATTTCTCAGAAATTTCTTTAAACTCGACTTGAATTGCAATTTTACAAGTCATTAACAATAAAAAGAATTGCGCTCACATTGTCATGTCTCGGTAAAATGATGATTAAATTTAAAAAATGTGTTCAGTAAATTTTCACCGAAAAGTATGAAGGCATACAATAGGTCGATTTAATCAAATTATCGCATGAAAAGAAAAGAAAGAATAAGATGAGGTTGAAAGAATGCAAATTACGCTCGTTATTTCGTAACAATTGTCATTATTCGATCATAAAAAAAAGAATTGAGGTAAATGCTACTGCCACTGCTATGTTTTTTTCGTTTCAGCGCGTCTCAATTTTTTTCTTTTTGTGCTTTTTAATTTTTTTTGTTATTTTTATAAGATCTGGGGTCGTTAGCAAGTGCTGGACATTAAAAACGGGATTTATGGGGTCTACTGCTGCTCAAATTAAGAATTGTACTTGCAACTTTATTTTTAACGAGTGCCTTATAGCTCAAAACTCTCGAATAAATCACCCGTCATAGCCGAATCGAACCTAGTTAAATGAAAAGAAATATTTTTTCAGTATTTTTCTCGTTTTAAATTGTTTTTAAAGAAATTCTCTCTTTTCTCTTTCTCGTCTTATTGTTTGTTTCGTCTATAAAAACATATCTGCACTAATTAAGCGCTAAATGCGATTCTTTATTTCCGTTTCTCATTTTCTTTGAACAAAAGCGAGAAAATAAGAAGGTAAAAATTGGTTCAGACGTAAAGATTCAAGTGCATTCAGACGTTTAATGATGTTAATATCAATAAATTTGTTGCAAACGATTAAAATTAAGTTGAGGAAGTTGGGAGAATAAGGTGAAAATGACGCTGTTTTATTTGATCTTTGAAATGTGTGTTGAACTGAAAAATGGTTGATTACAGTATAATGCAACCTTTATTAAATCGAATTAAATCGAAAATATATTCTATTTGATGACTGAGATATAGACGCTAGTGGGAATCGAACCTACATCTAAACAAAAGATTCCGAATATTCAGCCTACGATTTAGCAATGGTAAACTTACTCTTGCTTTGGCAGATTCGTCCACATAATGTTGGATTCAATTCGATTAAGGGAAAGCAAGCTTATGCTGAAAAATGAGAATATTGCCTATGAATCTCCATAATTAATAGCACATCATCACTTGGGTAGAATATCGCAGTTCAATAACTGTTAAAACCTTTTCTAGAATTTAATCTAGATGAAAGCCAACAGATAATTGGAAAATTAATTAAAAATTGACTTCGCGATCAAAAAACTAATTGAAATTTCTTATAAAATAACAATGTAAAAAATTCAATTAACTTTCAATCGAGCCATGCAGCATTAAACCTTCTAAAACCTTCAATATTTTATAAAGTTATCAATTATATTTTCAATCAGAACTATAAATATTGTGATCTAGATGTAGAGCTGGCTTCTCAACAAGCTCAAGTCAAAATGCAAACAAGAATAAATTCCAATTTCTTATAAAAACCTGTCAAAGTAAGTCTTAATGAAAGTGAAACTCTTTTCCACTCGACTTGCGATTTTTCTTCAGCAACAAATGATTTATAAGACAAATAATCATGGCTATAAACTCGTACTTGAAATAAAAGTACAATAAAAAAAATCATGATATAGTTTATGAACTAAAAAAGAGATCACTACTGCTGCTAGGCATACCAGACCATAACATCGTATTATTATACAATACAGCCCACACAGCCAATCAAAAAGGGCATAAGATTTGCATGTAAAAATCGAAAATCATTCTGTGGGCTTCCCATGATTTCTGTTCTTGCTTACCTTTTGCTTCTTGTTCCTTGTTTTTGCGACAATTTAAATACTTTTTGCTCACAGCTGCATAAAGGTTCGCGCCAAATTGAAATTGTCTCATAAGTTATTCATACTCTGCAAAATAAAGCATGGAATGAAGGAAATGAGGAATGAGGATAAGTAAATGGCCAGCATAAAGGCTATATGAGTCATAGCAGCATGACAGCATAAATGCATGATAATTTAACACTATATTCATTTATCAAGCATAATAGTTATGGTCAGCAGAAGTGGTCTTCAGTTTTTGGTACTTTTAGCCTCAATGCTGTATTCTAAACAATAAAAGCCCATTCGAGAGCTATAAAAATGATCTATTGCACAAAAGAATGAGGAGAGAAAATGCCAACTTTATTTGCAAATAATGCTCATTCAATTCTCGCCTTTTAATGCCTTCCAACCTACAACAGTCATTTGTGAATAGCACTTCAACATTGTGAGCTGTAAAATGTTCTCTACCTTTTTCCATTACATCATCGTAAAATGATAGAGGTGACAGGTTGAAAATCATGCACTTGAAGAAAGATAGTTAACCCAGTTCCATCATCGTCAATCTTATTTTTCTCTCTCTCTCTTGAAGTTTATTTTCTAAATAATCACGGCATGAGGCATTCATCGTCCATATTTTGAACGACAAAGGTCATGTGCAAATGTGCTATAAATATTGCGCAATAATTTTTCATTACCGACCACGGACATACAGTCATCTATTACAGGCCGGTAATATAGTCATAAATTAAGATTTACGGGTGGTGTTATTTGTTTATTCATAGCTTATGAGAGGAAATGAATATATCGAAATCGAAAAAGGGATTGGAATTGGTTGTGGTGTTTTGTATTGTTTATAGAAGCTATTTGTGATTGTGAGGACAATTTATAGATCTTACGATAATTGATAGATGTAAATTCCGAGAAGCACAATGTATTGGAACAAGATGTAAGGTGTTTCTTCTTCTATCGATGGCTAGTCTAAAATAATGATGTAGCGATACTTTGAAGACTATGTTATGTTTCTGGGATTTGACTTAAGTGAATCTAGTTGAATTCAAAGAGAATCAAACTCGTGAATTTACAGTAATAATCTAAGACTTAGATTTTGGGTACCAAACCATTCGGTCATCAAGATGCTCACTCGGCTATTAAATAAACCTCCTTAAAGCATTCTTCCTTGCAAAAAAAATCGTTCTTCCACAACAAAATTGACCAATTAGGATCCTCATTAAATTCAATTCATTCAAGAACTTCCATCAAGCACTCAGAATGATAATTAAGGAAATGCTCAAGTTTGCATGAAATTTCTTCATCATCAAAAGACAAATTATTCTACAAAAAACTTTACATCTTTATCTAGCCCGAGAAATCTCTTTCACTTCTCTATCTCTAGTTTAATGGGAGGAAAAACTCTTTGAATAGAGACATAAAAAATAACATTTTTCTACTTTTGATTATTCTCATTTATTTAAATTTTTTTCTCATATTCTGTGGACCTTGACAAACATAATACAGCTGTAATGGCATTAGCTTCTGTTATATATACTTTCACAAAATATTTATATCTATGGGAAAAAATCGTTTCAGCTCAAAAAATAAAAAAAAAATTAACAATCTATATATATAGATAGCAAAACTCGTATTAATTATTAATAGTTGGTTTATAAATAAAGCTAGTTCCGCCACACCTAAAAGCTATTGCTTGATTCTTTGTCAAATTTTATGATCAATTATTTAAAATAAGTACACAAAGTAAGAACACGTTTATTTTCAGTGGCAATAAAAAAGTGATAAAGAATAGCCAATCCTGTACATAAATTATAATCAAAGCTTAATTATCGACCTAATTCTCATAAAAATATTTCTCATTTGCTTTTTATAGATTTAAATAGAGATCAATCAGCATCAGCATCACATTGGTGGCAACCACCATTCACAGGAGGCACCCACACAGTGCTACAATCACATTCATCAATCAGTGGCTCAGCAGCAGCCAATAGATTCACAGCATCAACACCAAGAGCACCAAGTGCTTCAAATCTTCGAGCACCAGCTAGTGCTGGATTCCCAGCTTTTGCCAATCCAAATCCAAAATCGCCATTCCGTCATTTAGATTATACATCAAGTGCAACAGCTGAGTTGCGTCGTAATCCAAATTTGTCAGCTCCTGATGAGTGTGCTCGCGCTTGTCGTGAAGGCGAACCACCTAGAATTTGTTATTATCACTTTACATTAGAATATTACACCGTATTAGGAGCGTAAGTATCAATTACCAAATGTGACAAATTAACTTTACACATTCCATGTGCGCCATCGATCATCATGTGCCACACATTATGGATAGAATCATCAAATAAAGCAATTAAAAAACGATTAAAATTCCATGAATTAATTCAAATTTTCCATCCCATTTACAGAGCATGTCAAGTGTGTACGCCAAATGCAACAAATACCGTATGGAGTCACTGTCAATGTGTTCTCGCTGATGGTGTCGAACGTGGTATTTTAACCGTCAATCGTATGATTCCAGGGCCAAGTATTCAAGTTTGTGAGGGAGATCGTGTCGTTGTCGATGTTGAAAACCATATGGAAGGTATGGAAACAACAATCCATTGGCATGGTATCTGGCAACGTGGAACACAATACTATGATGGTGTGCCATTCGTAACACAATGTCCAATTCAACAAGGAAATACATTCAGGTTGGTGGTCTTAATTCAATTATATTTAAAAAAAATTACAAACAATAGAGGCAGGGAAAGGTGACAAAATTGGCATCGATTACATGCATCTACCTATTATCCATTATGATTTAATGTTGCATCAAATTGATATGATGCAAACAGAATGATCATAAAAGAAAATGAGCAATTAATTATGGTGCAATCTAGACAACAATCAAAAACTTAGTGATGTTTAGTTTCGCGACAGCTTTGATGCTCAGCCATAAAAGAGCAATTTCATGATTGACGAAATTTTTATACTATCAAGATTTCCATACGCTTGACAAGCTTTTTCCTTTTGTCTCGAATTAAATAAATGTGTTTATAGTCTTGTTTGCATGACCATAATATGGCTATTAAACATGCATTGCAAATTGACGAAAAAATATGTGTTAAACAAATTTTTACGAAATGAAATTAACAGATTAATTAAAAAGCTTTAAAAGGCTTGCATTTGAAACATTGATCAATCATAATTCAGGAATGATCTTTGTCAAAATTTTCCATTTTATTGTTTCTCAATGAAAAATTAATTAATTTGTGTGTTTAAGAGATCAATCTACAAATTTAATTAAAAATCACGTTCGCACGTTGTTAACAGTTTGATGTCTTAATTAAAATCATGTTTGGTATTGATGTTCACAATGCATGATTATTTCATGTATTTACTGTCAGAAATTTGATTTGATTCTAGAGAATTTCTAGAATTTCAAATTAAAAGCTTTTGAAATGCAATAATGCTCTACGCAATTTTTGTTGATTTCTTTATGAAATTTGATTCCGGAAATGATTCAAATTTCGTAGGGAAGCCATGTTGTAAGATACACTAAGTTGTAGCATATAGTTTGAGATTTCTAGACTAGCATCATGTACGTTCTATAAAATAACTTAGAAATTTTAATATCAGGTGGGAATTGAACCTAGCTTCTCACAAATGAGAAGTCAATCTGCCATATTCTACTTTCCTATAACACATCAAGTAGATGCGTAATCTTACAACCTCACGCCATCCTAAAATCTACAAATCACTTGATTAAACATATTAAAAACAGCAATCTGATTAAAATCGTGTTGATCATGAGAATTTTTTTTTTATATATTTCCAAAAAGATTCATGCTCGCCTTTTGTGGATACAATTTTTTTTTTTTGAGATGAACAGAAGTAGCCTCATGATAGCACTTCAATGAATGAGTTCATTACCAGTATAATACTAAATAAAACATAAGTAATAGACCAATGTCAAGCTGAGAAAAGCATTTTAAGTGTTTTGGATGAATTTTTCATTTTTGTATGTCTCTAAATAATAGGCGGTTTATTCTCTACGTGAATCACTTTATATTTTAATTTGTTAAACGTTATGTACCTTCATGAATAAGGCATCATGCGATTTCTATGTAAATTTTAGCAGTTCTTAGTGACTTTCATTTTGTGAACTGTGTGAGACGAGATGGCTATTAAGAATTAATGAAGTATTTTGTGTTCATTGGTTTGACTTTCTTGTTAAAAAGTTTCAAGGGTTTTGTAAGGTCTTGTTGCTAGCTCAAATTCATTAAAAATTATTTGCTCCATTTTATATGCCATAAATGTTATATTTGTAGAAATAATGAATTCCATATTAGCTATTGTCTTGTCCAGTTTTTGTTATCTTTCTCACAAACTTCAAGCTAGAACGAGGCTATGTGTAACAACTCTAATTAATAGCTACCAATAAAATGAAAATTGCAAACAGTCTTGATAACTCGAGTACCATGTTAAGAGGTTAATATCTGTAACAAAATATACATAGCGATTAACGACTGCTCGAGATTTTATTTATTATTGCCTCAAATGCCGCCGAGTTATCTTAATTGCACATTTTTTTTAGTCAAAAGCATTAATTTATGTATGTTAATTATAAAAATGCATTAACTTAATTTTTTTTATTTTCTTTCTCACAGATATCAATGGGTTGCAAATGCTGGTACACACTTCTGGCATTCACACACTGGTTTACAAAAGATTGACGGTATTAATGGTCCAATTATTGTGCGTCAACCACCATCTCGTGATCCAAATTCACACTTGTACGATTACGATTTAACGACACACACAATTTTCTTAAACGATTGGATGCACGAAGATTCAGCTGAAAGATTCCCAGGACGTTTAGCTGTCAACACTGGTCAAGATCCTGAGTCATTATTGATCAACGGAAAAGGCCAGTTCCGTGATCCAAATACCGGTTTCATGACAAACACACCACTCGAAGTTTTCACAATGACACCCGGCAAACGATATCGATTCCGTATGATCAACTCATTCTGTACTGTCTGTCCCGCTCAACTTACAATTGAAGGTCACGGTTTGACTGTAATTGCAACCGATGGAGAACCAGTTCATCCAGTGAATGTGAACACAATTATTTCGTTCTCAGGTGAGTTCCATTACTCATTTCTTATTTATTAACAGACATATGAGGATCATAAGTGAATGTGATTTATGGGCGGATTGTTTCTTTTGCTGATGATGGTTCATGGGAATATTTGAAGGGGGAGAAAGTAATAATTGGAGTTTCTTATTGGGGACGTGAATCATAAATGGTCAGATGTATGTGGAGAGCGTTACACTTTTATGCAAGTGTACTGACCTATTTGATAGACATCATTTATGAATATCCTTTCACATCGCTCACAAAAATTCAAAAGAAGCTATGATTCACCTGATGATGCATCAAAAATTTTACTGCATCCTATGCACTGTTCACTGCCAAGTCACTCTCCCCTCATAAATTGATAATATTAAACTGTCGAAATGCGCAGAGATTATTTTATCTAAATTTTCCTCGAGGGGCAATATAGGCACTCAACTCAGTCAGTGATTTATGTATTTCGCACTCATTGCATGCATTCGATGATATATTATTTATTTACGCAGCTTGGAGACTGCCTACCTTCATACAGAAGCTGTAGATGATTCAGAAAATAAAACGTAATATATTTTATGTACCATCAATGCTTTACGATAGCAACTGGATGGAAATTTATTTTCTAATCGATCTTGGGGGTCGTTTGCAAGTTATGTCTATAAATTAATTTATTTTTGAAGCATTTTTTGGATTCTCACACAGTTTCAGATCCTCTTTCTTATTAAAATATTAGACATCACTTACGAATAACCCCAAATCCAATTTCCCAATCAATTATAAAAAGTTTTGAAATCTTTTTTGATTTGAGCTTTTAATGAAGTCTTGCACACGAGCACACGCATCAAAATTTACTCATTTTTTTCTAGCAGTAAATTCAACTATGTAGGTGATATACATAGATAATTCAAAAGAGCAATGGAATTTAATTAATAAATAGCTGTTTGCTCTTGATTGCAAAAGGCTTAATAAAATTGTATAGAAAAGCTATATAATTTCCAATTAATTTTTATTTTGCCTTCCTAGTTTTAAATTAAATGTGTATGACATGCACCTAAATATTTCATTTCTTTCAAGGCAATCAATAATGCTTTTCAGTTATTTTTCAATTAATCTCAATTTCATCAATTAATTGGATAAGTTTTTAATTAAATAATTATGATACTTTTTTTATTCATATTACATCATCTATCGACTCATTCATGGACAAACTTGTTGAAAAAATCATAATAATAATTATCAAGAAGTTTTTAAAGTCACTGAACCACTTTCCATGCTCTTCTTCTTACGTTAATTGAGTAATTTTCTATAAATGATAATTTTACTTTCAATTTTCAACTTATTGAATTGATAACGCTGAATAACAAAGAAATGAAAAATCCATTAAAAATTAATTATCAATTGTAATGTCAGGGATTATGGATGGAGGCACTTGAGACTTGAGAAAAAAGCTTTTGAGATGTAACGAGATGTGTAGATGAAAATAAATTAAAGACTTAATTAGTCAAACTCGATTGCTTTTGAAAATTTAATTAATTTGGATGATGTTTGAATATTTTTGGGCTGACTTCAATTATTCATGAATTTGTTTAAAGGTTTGAAGGTTTTGTTACAGTTTCTTATGAATTTGAATCCTAGATTTAGTGTTTTATAGATTTCTAAAAGTTGAGAATTTAGACAGGAGTAAATCTAGATATTCTAGAATTAGGTGCTAATAGCTGTAGAGTCTAAACAGAGTTTAAATATACTTTAATATAATCAATCGTTTTACTCGACTCTTATCTACTTAAATATTTATCAAAAAGTGACCGTTATTTATCCGCTCAATGAAGCTTCATCCCCTCGATCTTAACGCAGCTTCAGACCCCTACAATAGCTAGCTCACAAATGGTATCAAATTAAAAGTTCAGAACCAAAACACATCATTCTAGATAAATCTTTTGATTGTGATTCCCATGCTTAAGAAGATGTAGCTTATCGACCTAAATCAATGTTTTAGTGTAAACATATCCAGTGTTTTGACGACGCAGGAGTAAGTCCTGCAGCATTGTTTTAAGAAGGTCTAACATTAAAAGTCATAAAAACATCATTGACTACGTGAAATTCTTCTCAAGAATCTTCACTTTGCAGTATAACAACTCTAGACTCATAAAATCTCATTTTCCAAAATTTAACATCCAAAAAAACTGCTTCCATAACTCAAAGTTCTACTCGTGTATCTCCCATGAAGTACAATAAAACCTCCAGACATAATAAAGAATGCTCTTACCTTAAGAATACCCATTATGAAATCCCTGTAAAGAAATAATTGATGATTCACAGGCAGTAAATATTGAACACAATAAATTTTATTCTTCTGAAAATATTTTCACCCGTAATCTGTCATTAATCTTAATTGTCTCATCTACCATAGCGAATTTAATATTATTTTATTATCTGACACGAGAAAGAAAGTCTTTTCTTCTACGATTTTAAGAGTCGAGTGTTGCTTCGAGTCATCAAAACAAGTGGAGATTGTACAACGCTTAATTGAGTTCTTGTTAGCTTCATAACTTTTTATAGCTCGTGTAAAAAAACATTTTCCCATCGTTTCTTTTTTGCTCAACACCTAATTCTAAAGTTTTACGAGCTTCTTGGGAAATAATTTTAAATTAAACTAGATTAATTTTTTGCAAAGCTATTGATTGCTTCCAACTACAATAAAACGCAATTCATCCATTAACAACGCCGTCTCTGAATATTCTACATACGAAAAAGAAGTAAATTTTCATTAGATTAGCAATAACGTAAAGTGCTGCCATAAATTATTTTTCATAACTATTTTCAGCATTGAATAATTTCAAGGACAATTAAAACAAACATTTTTTCATAAACGATTTTCTAAGTGTTTCAATATAAAAAGCCTAAATGCTCATGTTACGATATTGAGAAGTAGATTAATGAGTGTAAAAAAAATCAATTATTGGTCAGTGCACACTGCCTCGGGGAGTTTGGAACGAGTCAAGTGGATTTGTTTAACATGATTGCCGTGCTAATATCTATTACTGAAATATTTAAACTGATTGGGAAGGTCGAGTGCAGGCATGCGAAATTTGACTATTGGGTCCCATGAATATTGAGTTTTGTACTGAGTCTAGTTTCGATTGGGCCGACTCTATCAAACCAGCAACCCGATAAGCAGATTGAATACTTAAGTGTAAAAAACTAGATTTTGACCAGAAGGTCTGAGTATCTCCTCAGCAAATGTCCCCAAAACAAAATCAAATTGAATTTTTCGTTAATCAATTCCAATTATTTTCATCGCATGCCTTCTTATTAATAATTCAATCATTTTAATTAATTTCACAGGTGAACGTTATGATTTCGTAATTTCGGCTGATCAACCAGTTGGCGCTTATTGGATTCAATTGCGAGGTTTAGGTGAATGCGGTATCAAGAGAGTACAACAATTGGCTATTCTTCGTTATGCACGTGGTCCATATCAACCCACAACAGCAGCACCATCATACGATGTCGGACTTCCACAGGGAATTGTGAGTACATGAAATAAGAATTATTTTGTCATCCTTTTTGTTCCTCATTTTTTTTTTATAATTAATTCACGTTGGTTCACGCAATGTGATGAAATGTACAAATTATTTTTGTGTATAAAATTGAAATATTCTCGCACTTACTGCTGTAATGCACCTCCTATTCGCTATGTACAAAGAAAAAAGTCAAAAAGCTGATTTTTTTGCACTGCAAAACCACTTTATCATCCATCTGTTTACGTTTTCCCTTTCGTTAATGAGAAAATTGAATTTTTTATATATATTTATTATCAAACATGACTTGCACCTTCATTTTATAAATAACCATCGCTTCAATCACACGCAAAAACATACAAGTCAGACAAAAAAAAATGCTTTTTTTTATCATTTACAAAAGATACAATAATTAAAAAACTGTGTACAAAATGAAATAATTGTATAGCAAATTCATACATATGCTGTCACTTCTTTTATTCCTTCTCACTATATTATGTGCATTTTTTTCTTTCCTTAATTAAAATAATTAAAATTTTAAATTTTTCCACGTCAATGAAAAAAGCTTTTTTTTTTATAAAAATTGAAACACGAGTTTTGCATTCATTTCACAATTTAAATGAATTGGTAAGTCTTAAGTCTATTAATTACGTTTGGAAAAAATGTCTCTTACCGTCCATACAGATGATTTGCAATGAGACAATGAAATGAAAAAGAAAACGTATTTTTTAATACTAAACTTTCCTGCCTTGAAGGAGTTTTTTGCTGTCGTTGTGTCACAAAACTTTTTTTTATGGAGCATTTACACGGATTTTGAGCTTTAATCCGGAAAGTTTCGTAATGTAGAAATTTGATTCACTGAGGAAATTCGCGTAATGAAGTGTGATTGACTTTTTCTGCCAAGCTAGTCCAAACTAGTCCACGTTAATAAAAGCTAGTGCAAGCTTGTTTAACCAAACTTCAAGCTTTCCATCAAACTAGATCTCTTAAACACCCCAAAACTCAATATTTTGTCAAAATAATAATCTTAAAATTTCATTGAAAATTCAAATCAAATCTACAAAACTTAATTGATTCACAAGACCTCCTTTAACCATTTTCTATTAAGCTACCGCAAATTGAAGCAGAAAAAAAGTCACGACACTATGATTTATTGCCGTCAATTCAGTCTTAACAAGTTGACATTAAACGTCTCCTACCAATTTTAATTGCTCGATGACATCGTGCGAATATTCAACCGTCGTCTATCCATTTCCATAGTTTCCATTTTCAATTTAAATTCTAGTCAGTTTTCTCCTTTTTATCTTTCTGAACCGACAAATTAAATTTTACAATTCTTCTCTCTGTCCTGTCTCTTCTTCCTTTCCTTCTTTTTTTAATTTCACTTTCTGAAAAACTATTAAAATAATGATGATAATATCGATCAACTAAAATTAAATTTCTCTTGCTTTCTTTTGTAAATTTACTTTTCATTTTATTTTTAAAAATGAATTTGTGTACATAAAAATCTTGTGGAAAATGTAAAAAATTAATTAGGTAATGAATCCATTGGATGCACAATGTGATCAACCACGTCAAGATGCCATTTGTGTAAATCAATTGAAACATGCTGGCAAACACATCGATGCCGATCCAGCTTTATTGAAAGAAAAACCAGACGTAAAGATTTTCTTACCATTCCGTTTCTATTTGTATAAACCAGAGGAACTCTTCCAACCTAACACTTATAATAGATTCTTAGGTAACATGATGAATTAATCCATAATATCGAATATCAATTAACATAATATATTTCTCGCATTTATATAGTCGCACCAACTGGAGACCACGTTCTTTCATTGGTTGATGAAATTTCATATCTCTCGCCTCCAGCACCACTTCTCTCACAATACGATGACATTAATCCTGATCAATTCTGTAATGGTGATAATCGTCCCGCAAATTGTGGTGCCAATTGTATGTGCACACATAAAGTCGATATTCCATTGAATGCCATTGTTGAAGTAGTTTTGGTTGATGAAGTACAACAGCCAAATTTGAGTCATCCATTCCATTTGCACGGTTATGCATATCATGTTATTGGTATTGGACGATCACCCGATACAACAATTAAGAAGATTAATTTGAAGCATGCTCTTGATTTGGATCGTCGTGGTTTATTGCATCGTCAATTTGATTTGCCACCAATGAAGGATACTATTGCTGTGCCAAATAATGGTTATGTTGTGTTCAGATTCCGTGCTGATAATCCAGGGTAAGGAATTTATTTACAATTGGTTGTTTTCGGGGACGATAATATGTGATTGAAGCTTTTTTGAAATGAGGAACAGCTGTAGAGGAGATTGAGCTAGGATGGAAGTTGTGGGACCAGTTTAACGCACAATTTTGGGTTATTCTATGCTGTTCCATGTTCAAAATGATGTAATTCATCTTTATGTCATTTTGGAAAGCTCTAGGACCTCTCATTCTATCTGCTGTATTAAACAGCACCATTTCCAAATCTATAAGTCTCAATATACATATATAAACGACCCCAAAGCTCTACATGCTTTAAAATATTAATCCATAAAAAATTAATAATTTAAAAAATTTAATCCCTTACAGAGTATGGATGATGCATTGCCACTTCCTCTTCCACATAACAATCGGAATGAATCTTCTTATACACGTCGGTACACAAGCGGATTTACCTCCAGTTCCACCAAACTTCCCTACGTGCGGTGACCATGTATTACCACCCATAGAGCACGTATAAGTGAAGCATCATAAACAGAAATGTTAGGCACTTCCTTTCCCCTTAGTTGATTAAGTGAAACAAAAAAAAATCAGTAATTTTATTTATACATAAAAAAAAACGACGTTCATTTTTTCTCCCATTTTTCAACGAATTTAGTTTGGATATCGCATGATTAATGACAATTGAATATCCAACGGTAAAATTGACCGTAAATCATTTTCTCTCTGGTAAATTACAATTAATGTCGTTCGTTAATTGATCATTCCTTTGGTACTTGTTGCCATGCTTATCATGCAATTGAATGCGTAGTATGATAAAAGGCAGGTAGCAATGGTCAATTAATATTAATATATTGTCACCCATAATTGCCCATATAGTTACTTACTTTCTTAATTAATTCGCATTTTTAAGGCAAAAGTTGCAATTTTTATTTTATTTTTATCATGAAAAATTTCTCAATGCTTTAGGACATTTTTTTATTTTTTGGAATTTTATGTGTTTTAGTTGAAAAAAGAAAATTTATTGTTTAAAAAAAAGCTCAAGCTGTAAATATTTGTAAATATGCAGAGAAATTTTATCATTATCATTTATCACTCACTTTATGCTTTATTCACTCACATTTTTACATAAGCATAGCAGCTTTTATCACTAATAATTTAAAATAAAGCAAGAAGATTGACTATCTTAGCTTCTATGAACTGTAACAGTGATAAACGCTGATATAAATCTTTATATTATATTATATCATATTCATCTTGCCAACATAATACTCTCTATACCTTTCTCTATCTCTATGCTTCTTTCACTAAAATGTATATGCAAAATTTTATGGCAATTTTTTTATTTTGTGATAAATTTAATTATTTTCTTCTTTACATTCATAACTGTAGCGATTCACATCACATACTTAAAATAACATTAAACTGCTCTTATAACTACTTCCATTATAACGTTTTCGAAACTTTCCTACTTACACTCTATCAATAATTTTTTCGATTATTAATTTACTAAATTATTTTTTATTAAACTTCCTCTTTCGATGACAATTTTCTTCCAAAGCGGGAATTATTTTTGATGGTGGTGATTCACTGTGATTTTTCTGGACTTTTACTGGTGATGAGATAGTTCAATTTCACCAGTACATTTAGATTGGATTCGAACTTAAACATCCTAATGTTTAAAATATTATAGCTTCGCTAAACCTTACTTCTTAGCTAGATACCAGATCGGCACACATTTTATATGTTTGTCACCTGGCAGCTGGGTTGATAGTATAAGTAGAAACAAAGGGTTGCCCTAGCCAATTGGCTTCCGCTTGATTCTAATCATACTATCAACCTGGCTGCAGGATGGCAAACATTTAAATGTGTGCCGATCGAGATACTTTTCCAGTTTAGATCAGATTCAACAAACATAGCAGAATCCTCCTTAAAATCAGAATCTGCAACATTCAATTAATAAATCAGTTCATAACAAAAGCTCATACCTTATCAAACATCCAATTTAACCTCTCATTTCCCAAAAGGATTATCATAAAATAAAGTTCAACCGCAAACATTACAAAATCACTGCCGTCAAACATTTTTCATCGTTTAAAATTAAAAATTGGTATACTCCATACCCTCTGTCCGTGCCAAAACTAAATCCATTAATATTAAAAAGAAACTTTTTTTTTGATAATTTTCGCGAATCATCATTGTCATCATTTTTCTCAATTAAAATTTAACAACCTTTAGTGCATGCCACATTTCCGACTTTATTAATCGTTCTCTTCCATTAATATTCATTAACTTTTATCTGCTACCATATCGATAATAACAATTATCACTGCCGTATTTTTTTTTTTATTTTTGATGATGAGATTTTTAATTTTTAAATTAAAGTGAAATAAACATTTAAGAAGATTTTTTTTTTAAATATATTAAATAGAAAATGTTATGTATATAAGACGAAAAAAAAAAGAAAACATGTGGAGCACATTGAGAGACATAAGTGCCACTTAAAATGAAGATTATATATTATGTAAATTGGCTTAGACTTTAGTGTTTATGTTGCCAGCTTGAAAACAAGAAAAATCAACACAATTCACAATTTCAATAAAGATTTAACTTTATTAAAGAATAATTTTAGAGTCTGTAAAATATTTTTCGACGTATTCGGAACTTACCTGTAATTTATGGTATTTTTGAATGATTAGTATGATCATTTACTGCGGGATATTTACTTTTATAGATCACAATTTTGGTCTTTATATGTATTAACCTTAGTAATACCTTAACTGACATATGAAGTAACTTGTGATCGATTATTAATTAAGAGTGATTATTAATATCTTGATCGCGGCATATTATTGAGATCTAGACATTTAAGAGATTATTGTTTATGATCTCAGCATTGGAAATCTAGATGACTAAATATAAGATTTTTAATTCTATGATATGCTGCTCGGGTTCGTTGCTGTTTTTATGACAACCTTCAAGATCCGTTTCTATTTTGCAATTTTAAACAAATGTATCATGTTTTTCTACGAAAGGATGTTTATTTATGTTCAGTAGCTACACAACAGAGAATCATGCCCTAGTTTCACACAAATTCTACTAGTTGCTATGTTTGAAAGTATGCAACATGATAGGAACCTCCTAATTCTATAGTTGTTCTATGAAAGGAGACTTCTAGATTATAACATCTTCTATTCTCTGTTTAAGGTATTTTCTTTGGAAGAATACATTATCTTAGCTAGCTCTGAGTAGCCTTCTTTGCAACATTACTAGCAAAGCATATTAGTTTGCAAATTGACATTTCTTCCAAATTCAATCCCAAATTCAATTCATCATAATTTCAACCTTTCCGTCCGGAAACTGCACAAATGAATCAAATAGAATATTAAATTATTGACAATGATGGATTACTTCCCAAAGAAAGAAAAAAGACTCAAGTTTAGTAAAAACAAAACAGATGTATATGATACAAATTACTTGACTTGTTGTGCATCCACGCTTATCATTATCAACATGCCGTACATCATTATTTTTCCATAAACACAGCAGCTACAACAGCAAATATATATTGTTTGTAAATAATATTATTACACGCGACTCTATGTACAGCATATAGACTGATTACAGGTTGTTGAGATAGAAAGGTATTATTTTTAGCATTTTACAAGAAAGGAAATCTCTTCCAGCATACAAAACAACAACAAAAGCATTAACAAGACAAGACATATTAATCGCTTCACTTCTCATTAACTTCTTTATATTCATCATATCAAATTTCATTCTGTTGTTAAACATAAAGAAAAAGTTTGAAAAATACTCAACGGAATTCACTCAAAAAAGTATAAAATGAACTCATTAGTGCACTCATTTGGATAAACACACACAAAAAAAATATGAATAAGCAACGGCAATCACTGACGATATCATTAAATCTCATTTGTTGGAATTGTTTGTTTGGTAAGTCATAAATAATGTGATGACTATTGTTTTTGTTATTTTTAAGCAGCACATCTACTTGAGTTGGTTTTTTGATATATGTTTGGGGAAGAACTAGCTTTAGGGATACCTAAGAAACATTGAATAGGTTTATGACCAAATTATCTTTATATAAAACTTAATCTTGAGGTTTTCTAAGATCCCTTACCTTGACAAAGATCTAGGTAAGGTCCCTTAATTATAGAATCGAGTTTAAATCATTTAGGTACATATCAGGTTCCTAATTCCATATCACAAAGATATAGCAAAAAACCAACACCACAAAACATCCGAATTTAATCCAGAAAATAATATTTCCTTAATCTACCCCAAAAAATCCAGGTTATGAATCCACTTGATGCTGTCTGTGACACGCCACGCGATGATGCCATTTGTGTAAATAATTTGAGAAGTGCAAAACCGATTGAATCTGATGTGTTAACAAGAGATCCTGACATAAGCATTTTCCTTCCATTCCGATTCGTCGTTCATAAACCAAACGAATTGTTTCAAGCTAATACTTACCGTCATTATCTCGTTGCATTCGATGGAGATCATTTAACATCATTGATTGATGAAGTTTCATATGCACAGCCAGCATTTCCACTTTTATCGCAGTATTATGATAATGATCCAAATTCATTTTGCAATGGCGATAAGCGTCCAGCAGATTGTGATATGTATTGTCAATGTGTTCATAAAATTGATATTCCATTGAATGCTATCGTCGAGATCGTTCTAATTGATGAAGTTCAACAGCCAAATATTAGTCATCCGTTCCATTTACACGGTTATTCATTCCACGTTATCGGAGTTGGACGATCTCCCGATAAAACTATTCAGAAAATCAGCTTGAAGCATACACTCGACCTTAATCGTCGTGGTTTATTGCATAGAAATCTAGATGCACATTCGTTGAGAGACACAGTTGCGGTGCCAAATAATGGATATTCTATAATTAGATTCAAGGCTGATAATCCTGGGTAAATTAATTTTCTTTTTTTGAATGTTTGAAGCTGGTTAATGGAAGAATACTGAGGTTGTGTTATCCTTAGCGATTAATCAGCTTTAGCTCTGTTCAAATTCAAATGTAGCAATCCCTAATCACTAGTTTTCATGCTGATGTTTAAACCTTGACAAGAGAATTCTTCCTTAATACTAATTTTCATTAATTGCATGCTTACTAATTTATCACATACTCTTTCTTCCCTCTTTAGAGTATGGATGTTCCATTGTCACTTACTATTCCACATCCCAATCGGAATGAACTTATTGTTACAAACTGGCACACCAGAAGACTTTCCACCTGTGCCGGAGGGCTTCCCAAAATGTGGAAGTTATGTACCGCCTCTTCAAATTTAATAACCGACTGTCTTTCATTCGTTCCTATTCTAGCCGGATTTATCCCCAAATCATTATTATAGCCACTCAATTGTGCAATACACGCAAGCACGTGTGTGTGTTTGTGAGCACAACATGCTACTTATAGATTAATTATATTCTTAGTCTTCTTTCAGTACTTTTCAGCTCTTTTCTTTTCTTCTACATACTTACTTACTTGTTTTTGTAAATTAAGACATTTAACTTTTCCTTACATTGATGATATCTTTATGCTGTATAAAATATTTTGTACATAAAAAAAATTATGTCTTGTCATGGCATATACCAAAAATTTAAATTAAATTATTAAAGTTAAAAACTTAATTATGCTTTTTTGTATATCTTTATCTACTGTTTATGCTTTACCTCCTGCCATTCTTTTTATTGTACCTTTATGCTTGTTATTATATTCAATGTAAATTGATGTAATTTAAGAGTCAAAAAAGCTTCTTATGCACCTAAAAATATAACTATTATATTGTAAAATATAATTATATGTGTATATCTCACTTTGGTAAGTCTCATACCTTTCAATCCCTGCCTACCTGATGTGTAATACATATCATTATAGCCAACACTACATTAAGCATGTATAATGTATAATAATCACCTTTCTACTCTTCTTATTCGTAACTTCAAATAGGTTCTCAATCCACTCGACGCTGTCTGTAACACGAAACGTAGCGATGCCATTTGTGTGAGCAACTTGAAAAACGCCAGAAAGATTAACGAGGAAGTGTTGCAAGAACGACCAGACATTAAAATTTTCTTGCCATTCCGTTTCTATTTCTATCAGCTTGAGGAGTTGTTTAGACCAAATACATATAATGTTTTCCTTGTACCACCCGGCGGTGACCATCTCATTTCACTTGTTGATGAAATCTCATATGTTGGACCTCCAGCACCACTTCTCTCACAGTATGATGATGTCGATCCACAACAGTTTTGTAATGGAGACAATCGTCCACCAAGTAAGTTGACTAAGCTTTATTGAAGAGTGAGCCAATGGACTCAACGACTTTATAGCTCAATACTTTCTTATCTACAATTACTATGTCTATTGACACACATACGCAAACCCCTGTTGACAGCCTAACATTTTAATTAAAAAATTTCCATTGTCATCCTTTCCATTCAACATAGATTGCGGACCAAATTGCATGTGCACACATAAAATCGATATTCCCTTGAATGCCATTGTTGAAATTGTTCTCATTGACGAAGTCCAGCAAGACAATTTAAGTCATCCATTCCATTTGCACGGCTATGCATATCACGTTGTAGGAATGGGACGTTCTCCCGATACCACAATCAAGAAGATCACGCTTAAACATGCTCTTGAATTGGACAGAAAAGGATTGTTGAACAGACAATTTAAGGGACCACCATTAAAGGATACAATTGCTGTGCCAAATAACGGATATGTTATCTTGAGATTCAAGGCTGATAATCCAGGGTAAGATTAAGGGTTTACTTAAGTAAGAGACAAATTTTATCGAACGTAGAAGTTTTGTTTTGTTTACATTCTCACTTGGAGATTTTGATTCTAATATTTGGGTCGAAAAAAAGGTTTATTGCTTGTTTGAGTAATTCAAATATACATAAAAGATGTGAGCAAATGCTTTATGAAGAGTTCCAATTTATAAATCACGATATAAAATCCGGAAATTCGATTTATTGATTTTAAAAAATTGAATTCAAATTTGCAACAAATCGCGCGAATATTCAAAAATGTGTATTAACGGTTAATTTTAATTTTTCTCTTATTAGGCATAATCCACAAATTTTGGCAATAAATTAATGTTTTTTTGTTTTTATCATTTTCAGAGTATGGATGATGCATTGCCATTTCTTATTTCACATTACAATAGGAATGAATCTACTCATACATGTTGGAACACAGTCCGATTTACCTCCAGTTCCACCAAATTTCCCAACGTGTGGACATCATCTGCCGCCAATAAAATATCATTAGTCATATATAATATTTAGTTATCCAATTGTAGATTATTAAAAAACTTTTTATTCCTCCTTTTCATAGTCATTTCATTTTATGAGCGTCCATATATAAAAAAAAGAAAAATAATTTTTTGCACACATATTTTTTTGTTAAAAATAATTACTGCTGCCACGAGGGCTTTAATGAACAAAAAAATATGATTTATTATCAGCCGTATGTTAGGCTGAAATTATGATAGATACAGCTTTATTAGAGTCAAATAATTTCCATGTTATGAGCATTTTTTACGATTCTGCTTTGTGCTTACTCTTTTGCTTTATAAACATTTTTCATCTCGGCATGTGACTGAGTAATTTGTAATTAAATTTTCATCTCAACTTCTTCTTAACTTATATCATTTCCATCTTAATTTAGGTTTATATAAGGCAATTAAGTCTCGTTTCTAGTTTAAAAAAGATGTACCATTTTAAATGCCTTTATATATTCCATCGTCATTAGGATTTAACATGAAACATGCTTAAATGAAAGTCAGTCGTGTTAAATGAAGAACAATAAAGTTTTGCAGCTATTGCAAAATGTTTTGTTATCAAAAATAACTGCTTAATGTGTTTTATTTGTTTTAAAATTTTAAATTATGTTTTTAAAATTGATTTCAGGGTGGTCAACACACTATGGGCCAGAAATGGAAAATTTTTCCAAAAATTATTTCTACAGCTTATATGATAGTCCTTATTCTGCCCTACATTTACGTTCTTAAAACTTTGCCCAAGTCGACAGCGTGTCCGAGATATGGCACTTCAAAGTTGGTCAGACGACCATTTTCACGTTACATTGAAAATGCTCTCACCAGTCACTGGATGGATGAATCTCCTTCAATTTTTTTTTGGTAATAGCTTTAAATAGTTCCTTCATTTTAAGGTATAAACAATTGCAAAAAACTTTGGAAAATTTTGTGAAAAACTTGATTTTTCTCAAAAACCACGTGTTCGTCATACTTCCGTTTGTGTAGGTCTTCACAAGCACAACCAAAGTTACTAATTTCTTTTTTATATTAAAGATTACATCAAAAGCTATAACTTTTGCATACATGTCGTATAATTTTAACAAAGTTTTGGTAGTGAAAAAAATTTTTTTTATAAAAAAAACACCAATTTTTTGACAAAAATCGCTGTAGTGCTCCAGGGATACCCATGGTAGTGGAATTTTATTTCACATTTAGAAAGCTCTCTGGATATGCTATCAATTAATGCAGTAAAATGAACAAGTGTTCTCTTGGCAAAGAGCACTTTTTTGACTCTGAAAGTCGTATGTCGAGCAAGGTCAAAAAAGAAAAATAATCATAAAAATTTCAGTTTTAAGTAAAATTTAATTTTTTTAAGTTAGATTGATAGATCTTTTTAAAACGCGTCTTTTGAGTGTAAATATGTCATAGTTTTGTCAAGTTTCATGATCAGTTTTTTAAAAAAATAGTTTTTTTCAAAAAAAAACTTGAAAAATAAAGTATTTGACTTTAGAATTTCATAAAATGCATTCTTTTTAACATTTTTTTCACTATTTTGTCTAGTTTTGCTCCTCGTTTTTTCCTAAACATAAATCAATAAGAACTTAACATAATTGAAGCCATTTGGAGGTTAAATTGAGTTAAAAATCGTTTAAAATTTTTGTATTTCTTAAATAGTTCTTTACACAAGTATCTAAGATATAAAGTGTTGCATAGTTTTGAAAAGGTATTAAAATTTCCAATATGTTAACATGAAAATTTTAGGAAAATTTTCAAGTAATATAGTCAATTTGGGTAAAAAACGCATTTTATATATGCTAGTTTTTAATGTTTTTCGTTTTTCTCAGCAAAGACTTTATGAAAAACTCTCAAAGTTTGCACACTTATTTGTTATATAAATGTTAATGACTCGTATAAGTTTTGGAATTTTCTATTGAGTTTTTCATGAGTTCTCCAAATCTGAAATTTTCAATATTAAAAATCCTTTTTTCTCAATAATTCCGATTTTTTATTTATAAAAAAATATCTTATTTTGTTTCATTTTTCAATATCTTTTCATTGATATGTAACAATCTACGAAAAAAATAAGACTAGCGAGGAATCAATAAAAAAAGTGTCAAAAATTTATGAAAATTCTACGCTATTTTAATTTTTTATCCTTTTCTGGTTAATTTTATTAAGTTTTGTAAGAGTATTATACCTTTTTGCAAATTTATAGCTTAAGACTTTCATCTGCTTTCATCCACTAAAATTCGTATGAGTTTACGATAAGCACAACTGAAGTTAAATAAGCTTCACGTTGGCGACAAAAGACAGTTCCATATGAAGAAAACCAGATATTAATTTTAATGCTATTTGAGCTATAATATTAAACTTTTTCATTTAGTTTTGTTATAAATGTTTCATGTATTTAATAGCAGCCTGAAGATTTAATTTAAAGCTTTTAAATAATTTGATTTTAAAAAATTCAAAATTTTTGGTTGCGCCAACGTGAAGCTTATTTAACTTCAGTTGTGCTTATCGTAAACTCATACGAATTTTAGTGGATGAAAGCAGATGAAAGTCTTAAGCTATAAATTTGCAAAAAGGTATAATACTCTTACAAAACTTAATAAAATTAACCAGAAAATGCTAAAAAATTAAAATAGCGTAGAATTTTCATAAATTTTTGACACTTTTTTTATTGATTCCTCGCTAGTCTTATTTTTTTCGTAGATTGTTACATATCAATGAAAAGATATTGTAAAATGAAACAAAATAAGATATTTATTTATAAATAAAAAATCGGAATTATTGAGAAAAAAGGATTTTTAATATTGAAAATTTCAGATTTGGAGAACTCATGAAAAACTCAATAGAAAATTCCAAAACTTATACGAGTCATTAACATTTATATAACAAATAAGTGTGCAAACTTTGAGAGTTTTTCATAAAGTCTTTGCTGAGAAAAACGAAAAACATTAAAAACTAGCATATATAAAATGCGTTTTTTACCCAAATTGACTATATTACTTGAAAATTTTCCTAAAATTTTCATGTTAACATATTGGAAATTTTAATACCTTTTCAAAACTATGCAACACTTTATATCTTAGATACTTGTGTAAAGAACTATTTAAGAAATACAAAAATTTTAAACGATTTTTAACTCAATTTAACCTCCAAATGGCTTCAATTATGTTAAGTTCTTATTGATTTATGTTTAGGAAAAAACGAGGAGCAAAACTAGACAAAATAGTGAAAAAAATGTTAAAAAGAATGCATTTTATGAAATTCTAAAGTCAAATACTTTATTTTTCAAGTTTTTTTTTGAAAAAAACTATTTTTTTAAAAAACTGATCATGAAACTTGACAAAACTATGACATATTTACACTCAAAAGACGCGTTTTAAAAAGATCTATCAATCTAACTTAAAAAAATTAAATTTTACTTAAAACTGAAATTTTTATGATTATTTTTCTTTTTTGACCTTGCTCGACATACGACTTTCAGAGTCAAAAAAGTGCTCTTTGCCAAGAGAACACTTGTTCATTTTACTGCATTAATTGATAGCATATCCAGAGAGCTTTCTAAATGTGAAATAAAATTCCACTACCATGGGTATCCCTGGAGCACTACAGCGATTTTTGTCAAAAAATTGGTGTTTTTTTTATAAAAAAAATTTTTTTCACTACCAAAACTTTGTTAAAATTATACGACATGTATGCAAAAGTTATAGCTTTTGATGTAATCTTTAATATAAAAAAGAAATTAGTAACTTTGGTTGTGCTTGTGAAGACCTACACAAACGGAAGTATGACGAACACGTGGTTTTTGAGAAAAATCAAGTTTTTCACAAAATTTTCCAAAGTTTTTTGCAATTGTTTATACCTTAAAATGAAGGAACTATTTAAAGCTATTACCAAAAAAAAATTGAAGGAGATTCATCCATCCAGTGACTGGTGAGAGCATTTTCAATGTAACGTGAAAATGGTCGTCTGACCAACTTTGAAGTGCCATATCTCGGACATGCTGTCGACTTAGGCAAAGTTTTAAGGACGTAAATGTAGGACAGAATAAGGACTATCATATAAGTTGTAGAAATAATTTTTGGAAAAATTTTCCATTTCTGGCCCATAGTGCAACAGCTTTACATTATTAGTTTACTTTATTAGTTTTACATTATGTTAAGGTAGGTCACTTAAGTTTCCTAATTCTACGTAGTTGTTATGGCTTAGTTTCAGACAGAATCACAACCAAAGGTTTTGACAAAGTAAATTGCAGCCTAATCTTTGTTTTTCTCAAGAACATCATGTCATATTAACAATTATATCTCATTATAACATTTGATTTAAAACCGAAGTGGTTAATATCAAGCTAGACTCATTTTTGTTCCGACTTATATTATGAATTAAATAAAGGATCATTATTATTATCAAGAACAACTTCGTTTAAATCAATAGAATTGAGTAGATTCTAATGAAAGGTTCGCTTAAAATTCAAAAGAAACCAATTCTTAGTCTTTAATGAAAACCAATCAATTTGAAGATTCAGATTTAAATAAACTTAAAATTTTCTTAAAATCAAAGCAATCTTTTTGTTTTTGCAGAACAAAATATCTTCAAACAAAGATCAAATCATGAGCAAAAGATTTTACGAAACTCCAGTTGAGATTGAGAACGACTTTGACAAGAAGGTTGCAGAAGTATTCAGCTTGTACGATCGTCATAAGAACAACATGACAAGCAGTAAAAATCTTGAAGCAATCTTAGGTCTTTTGGGTTGCGCACCGATTAAACAAGATCTTGAGGAAATCACTAGAACAATACAGCAGAAGAAGAAGATCCATCTTGGAAAATTGATTCCTTATTTAAGAACATATCTCCTAAAAGGCAATATGAGACCAATTTCTAAAGATGATTTGCTTAATGTCTTTAAAATCATCGACACAAAAAATCTAGGGTACATACCCAAAGCTGAATTCGTTAAATTAATGAGAGATTATGGAAATCCATTAAGTGAAGAGGAATTAACAGAGATGCTGGTTGCTGCTGTCGACATATATGATTCCTGTGTCCATTATGAATATTATGTTGATAAAATAGTCATGAAATCAGATGTAGAGGATTCAATCTTTAAACTTGCTGAGCTACCTTTTAGGAAGAAGACAATGTTTCGCTAGTTGCTATGGAATTTGTTTTGTCAGGTTTTGTCAATAAAAATTTCAAGTAAAACTATCAAATTTCATAAGTAATGGAAGAATATTTCGATATTCCAGGTAAGACTGCTTATTATCAGCACCTTACAGGAACATGATCTAATCTTTTATCCACAGTATCAATAAACGACGACTTAGACAGAAAAATTGCTGACGCGTTCCTCATTTTCGATCATCATGGACAAAAGACAGTAGATGTACGTGAAATTGGCTCAATCTTAAGATATTTGGGGATGGTTCCAACAGAACAAGAAGTTTCTGAAACAATCGCCGAAACTGAGTTTGCAGGAGATGCAAGTGGAACTGTTCATTTATCAAAATTTCTTCCTTATGTCAAAAATTTACTTCTTGAACGTCGAATGGAACCAGCACCAATTGAGAAGCTGCTAGAAGCATTTCAGGTACTTGATTTTGAGGGTAAGGGATATGTCACTAAGGATTTTATGGCTAGAATTATGATGGAAGAGGGAGAACCTTTTAGTCTTGAGGAATTAGAAGAAATGTTTGGATGTGCTGTCGACTCGTCCACAAATCGTATATCCTATGAATATTATTTAAACCAGCTTATTCATGACATCTAAATTTGTGAAAGTTTAGTTTATTAAATTAAATAAAGGTTAAAAGATCATTTGCTTGACAGACTCGACATTCTTCTTATAGCATTCTAGTGAGCATAATGGGATGTTTGTTTTACTGCAGCTATATCGTTTAAGATTTTTACATCCAGTGATTCCACAAAGGACTTTTTTAGGTGGGTCAATAGCAGTTTTAGGCTGTAATGGGAAGGTGAGGTTCGGTGGATAGCTTAAATAAATCCCATCTCGTGAATTTTTGTAGGATATGACAGGAATCGTGTATTTATTGGGCCTTAACTTAGTTGATTTAACAGTTTTTGAGTCTTGTTTCTTTAAAAGCCTTTCCATTGTCTTTTTCTTATCCTTTTCACGTTTCTCGTCAGCAAGCTGCTTCCTTTTTTGTGCCTTTTCCTTTGATTTCTCAATATCTTCAGCTGTCAATGGCTGTTTCTCTTTTTCCTTCTTAATTTTGAAATTTGGAAGTGCTAATAATAACTGACCACTACTGCTAACGTTTGCCTGCACACCATCTACAATTGTTGTACTTGGTAATGACTTTCTGGACTTAGTTGTTGGACTTGTTGGACCTGATTCATTTATGTTCTTTTCATACATAGCTCTCTGCCTAGCTGTCATCAGTTTTGGATCTTTAGGCTTGATTTTCTTTAATTCATCATCCACTTCCTCTAATTTGCCACTCTCTATAGCTTCCAGCCATCGTTCTTCCTCAGAACTTGTATCATCTTGTTGCTGTGGAACTTTTTTGTTCTTTTTTGATCCTTTCGGTGTTCCTTTTGTTGGCGTTGTAGCTATTGATGATTCAAATGATTCCTCCATTTCTAGCTGCTCCTCAGTCGGTTCCGGTTCCTCAATGGGCTTTTTTTGCTTTTTCTTTTTACTTTTCTTAACTTTTTGTTTTTTCGGGCTTGTGTCTTGATCTGTGAATGAAGCTATAGTTCATATGATTAATGGGAGATTTATCTTTATATTAATTAACTTACTGTCGAGTGATTCTTCCTTTTTACGCTTCATTTTGATTAAATCTGTAATTTTCAAAAGTTAGTAAACAAAACAAATCAGTTTATAAGTTTCAGTTTTTCAAATTTTTTATTGTCGTTAGAAAAAATATACAGTTAAAAACAAATAATAAGGCATAGAATCAACTAATCATCCTCTGGCTCTGTATCACTTCCTGGTACAATAACTCTTCCAAACTGAACCTTAGTTCGCGGTTTAAAGATATGTCCAAAAAGTTTCTCTAAAACACATTCCGATTTTGGATCACTTACATTTGCTGCTGGATCTTCAGAATTGCTTTGCTTATCAGTTTCTTTAAAGTAGCTATTGTGCATTGACCATCGATTATGGGAAAATAGATTTTCTGTGTTAGTTTTTTCGGATTCAATAGCTTCAATCATTTCTACTTCATTTATTGCTTGTTCTTCGGAACTGACAGTTGGGGAAATATTTGGCAGTTCTATTGCCGGTGGATTTACTAGATATTCCATATCAACATCATCATCATTAGGCATTTCACATATGCTTGCAATATTAGACATAATGTCATTAACTTCATTAATTTCTATCTGTGATAAGACTATTGATGTATTTGTGCCAATAATTGTGCTTCCTGCTGATAATTTTTGCCGTTTTTCTTGTAGATTGTCCACTGTTGTGTCCATTTCATCATCTTCAATCATGTTCTGGTCGGCACTCTTTCGTTTTTGAGTTCCCCTAGCTGTAATTGATGGAGTCGACATGTAAGTTTGATCTGATCGATTTGTAGACTTTGATTTATTTTTGGATGTTTCATTTATGATTTTTGAGTTGTTTTCTTGATTTGATGTTGTGAATACGATTTGTGGATTTCCAGCATGAGCAGCTTCACTGTCAGTAATCGATGCATCGTCATTTGATTCCTCAAATTCATTAGTTTTGCGTCTCCCAATGTAATTCATGACAACTTTATTGTATGACTGATTTCTAATATTTCTCTTAGCAAATGATTTTGGTGGAAGTGTAGCTTGAATTAATGACACTGAAAAAGTTCCATCGCTACTTATTCTCGATATCATTGGTCTCCCAGGATTTGAAAACTGTATTTGAACTTCGGTATTTAATGACTGAGCTAAATTAAGGAACAAGATAAAATCACTACATGATACAATGAGTGTTTGTTCAGCTCTAATATTGTATGATGTAAATGAGGAAGTGCCAATCGTATAACTTAGTCTAATGGCTTCACAATCTTCATCGGGAAAATCTATGTAGCTTTGGATAGTCACATCATCATTTTTATAGTAAAATTCCAATTCATCAATTCCTCGTGATGATAATAAGATCTTGCGGAAGACTGATGGCTGGCAAACTACCCTTAAATTGTAGAAATTCAGGATATGATTTAAATCTGAAGGATTAAAATTAAATCCATGGATTAAAATTCCTTATTACTTACTCGCTTAACTCATTCGGAATAGTAAAATCATCCAGTTCATCGAATTCTAGCAATGACACCTTGTTCTTAACAACGACATCATTATTTTTGACGATATTAACATAAATACAATCATTAGGGATGTCAAATCGCATCGTACAGCTAGCTATAGACTTTGGTGTCCGTAAAACATTTAATAACACTTTTGCTGATACTCTACACACATTCTCGTCAGGATTTGCTGATGCCTCATACTTCACGAAAAATAACTCATCAAATGTCACTAGTGCCAGCTATAGAATATCAGTATTTAGTTTAATTAAGTAGTAATTGTGAAATTAAGTGAACTTACAGCAATCTGACTTGAACTACAAGTTTTTATGAGAAATTGATTATCTTTGGCTTCAAAACAATATTCCGATGAATACTTGGCAAGATATTTCAAGATTTTAATGAAGAACTTGATGGATTTACTGCCTATAACTACGTGCATTTTATATTTTAATTAAATATTCATTTTACCGCTGAAATTACTGAGCTGACTGAATTTTGTTTTGTTTACAATTTTCCGAGATGATTGAATTTTGCCACAAAATTCAATTCGACGGTCTTTAAATGCTCCTGTGCAGCTCGGGCTTTACCGAGACGATTAATCACACATGCTTTCAAATAAATTTAAAAAAGTCAACAAAAAATTTAATTAAAGCTTAAAAATGGGTAAAAAGACCAAAATTGGAAAGGATCGGCGTGATAAGTTCTACAAATTAGCTAAAGAAACAGGTAAACTATAAAATCACATCCAATTTTCATCTAACTTCATGAAAAATCGTAAATTTGTTTTATAGGATACAGATCTCGTGCTGCTTTTAAGTTGATTCAACTTAATCGGCGATTTGGATTCTTACAGCAGTCACAAGTATGTGTAGATTTATGTGCTGCCCCTGGTGGATGGATGCAAGTAGCTAAACAAAATATGCCAGTTTCAAGCATTGTTATTGGCGTTGATTTGTTCCCAATTAAAGCAGTTCCTGGATGTATAAGTCTTACAGAGGACATTACAACAGATAAGTGCAAGCAGTCACTCACAAAAGAACTCAAAACATGGAAAGTTGATGTATTCCTTAATGATGGTGCACCAAATGTTGGTAGAAATTGGCTTTTTGATGCATATCAGCAGATCTGCTTGTCACTTAGTGCTGTTAAGTTAGCTACAGAATTCCTAAGACCAAATGGATGGTTTATTACGAAAGTATTCAGAAGTAAAGATTACAATGCATTCATTTGGGTATTAAAGCAGTTGTTTAAGAAAGTCTATGCCACTAAACCGTCGGCATCACGTAAAGAATCTGCTGAAATTTTCATCGTATGTCAAGGATATAAAGCACCAACAAAAATTGATCCACGTTTTATGGATCCAAAGTATGTTTTTGAGGAATTGGACATTTCACCAGCAAAACCTGTTGATTTATTAAAGGAACCAAAAGGAGATAAGAAAGCAAAAGCTATTGGATATGAATCAATTGATTTGAGAAAGATTGTTAAAGCTTCAGATTTCCTTCAAGCTGAAAGTGCATTGGAAGTGCTACAAATAGCTACAGAAATAAATGTTGATGATCCAAAAATAGAAAATCATAAAGCAACAACAACAGAGATTAAGGAATGCTTTAAGGACATTAAAGTATTAAATCGCAAGGATTTAAAGGACATTATTAAATGGTGGAAGCTACTTAAAGCTGAATTCTATCCAGTTGAAGCAAGCGAATCAAAAACAGAGAATGAACAACCAAAAGAAATCACAGAGGATGATAAAGAGGATATGGAACTTGCTGAAATGGATAAGCATATTGAGGAATTACAACTTGAGGAAACACGCGAGGAGAAACGCAAAAAGAAAAAGGCAAATAAGGAACGAGCAAAATTAGATCAAAAACTTGCCCTTAAAATGATCATAAAAGGTGATTCCGGTCCACAAGAAGAAGGCGATGGGGAAGTTTTTGATTTAAATGAAATTAAGAATAAGAAAGTTCTCGAAACATTTATGGACGGTGTTGATTTGACTAAGAAACGTGATCGAAAAAAGAAAGCTCAATCAAAAATGGTTGCATATGATGAAAATGAATTGTTAGACGATGAAGCACATATTCCGACAATAACAAGCGATAATGAGGATTCTGATGAAATTGAGGAAGAATTAGGATTAGAGGACCTAGAAGGAAGTGAGAATGAAGGGGATGACAACTGGGATTATCATCCAAAGGCAAAAAACGGAGTCCAAGGAAGCGAAAGTCGGGGTATGTATTAACTTAAATCTGTGGATTTATTTCAAACCTAGGATTTAACTTTGAAAACAGCTAAACATTTTGAACTACAAATTTGAAAAATTATTTGATTTTTTGAACCTTAAAATTCAAATATTTGAAAACCGTTAAATTTTTTGAACTTGGAAATTCAAATTTTTAAGAGCCGCTAATTTTTTTGAACTTCAATTTTCAATTCAACAGTATATCTAATCGTTACATACTTGTTTATAGGTACCGTTTCCGGAAAAAATAAGAAAAATCCCCTCTTAACGGATTTGGACTATCGTGATAAGGATGCAAAGAAAGCAGCAAAGGCAAATCTCTGGTTTGAAAAGGATATCTTTAAAAATATGAAAAATACTGAAGATCAAGATGAGGACATAGATTTCAATTCATTGGTAAAGGATTTAAAGAAAAAGGGCGTAAAAGTTATTGGTGAAGATGAAAATAAAAAACCAGATTTAACTCTGATGGGCAAAAAGGCACGTCGACGTGCACGACACGAGTTAGATGGTGAAAAAAAGAAAGCAGAATCATCAGACGATTCAGACTCTGAAGTTGAAGAGAATTTAAATATGCCAGAATCAGACGATGAGAGTCACGAAAAGGAACCCAAACAAAAGAAAATCAAATTGACTGAAGAAGAATTGGCTTTGGGACAATTGATGGTAACAAGCCAGAAAATGAAACGTGATGTTGTTGACGGCGCATGGAATCGTTACATGTTTAATGATGACAATCTCCCTGATTGGTTTGTTGAGGATGAAAAGAAGTCTATGAGAAAGCCAATGCCAGTTTCAGAGGAATTAGTTGCAAATTATCGTAAGAACTTGACAGAATTTAATACAAGATCAATAAAGAAAGTAATGGAAGCAAAGGCACGTAAGAAGCGACAAGCTAAGAAGCAAATGAGTAAACTTACAAAGAAAGCTGAGAATATTTTGGAAAATGCTGATCAAACAGGTCAAGAAAAGATTAAATTAATAAAGAAATTGTACAAGAAAACTGAGAAAAAGAAGGAAGAAATATCATACGTTGTTGCTAAAAAGGCAAGCTCTGGTGGAAAGAAAGTACGAAGACCAGCTGGTGTCAAAGGACGATTTAAAGTTGTTGATCCACGTTTAAAGAAAGATATGCGTGGTGAAAAGAAAAAGGAGAGAATGATGGGTAAGAAAAAAGGTGGTAAAGGCAAAAAAGGAGGTGGAGGTGGACAACAGAAAGGAGGCAAGCGAATGGCTAGAAAGTTTTACACATCTTAAATTTTAAGAAACAAAAAATAAATAAACTTTTTAAAAATAACGGAAATAAAATAATTTGAATTAAGTAAAATTCGATCATCTCGGTTTGTTTTGAACGCGATTTTTGCAACAACTTTTATTATTTTTACATTAATTTTAAGAAAAACCTTAATTAAATGGATAATGGATACACATATGATACATCACAAGATAAAGGCTGAATGGACGAGATCGTGTTCAAACGAGACACATGGAGAATCAACGATAAAATACATAAAAAATGATAAAATTGAGCAAAAGACAAAAAGTGGAAAAGTAAAAATTCTTGAACAAATTGTTTTGCGGCCTAGCCATGAAGAATCGCTATTATTAAGCACCAATAATGATCTGAAAGTAGAAGTAATCAATAAGAAGACATCCAGTAAGAAAAATGAAGATACAAGGTCCAGAAAATGTCAAGTTTGTGAAAAAAGTTTTCCGGTATCGAATTTTGACGAGCATGTCAAGTCACACAGCCTGTTTGAATGTACTGAACAAGACTGCGATAAGAAATTTAAAAGAAAATCAAGTTTAAGGAAGCACATGTACATCCATAAAGGCAAATTCAAGTATTTATGTGAGGATTGTAAGGAAACCTTTATCGATAAATGCAAATATCAGATCCATATTGCCTCAAAGCACAAGAAAATTGAAAAATTATACGAATGTAAGGAATGTGAAAAAACATTCACGTCAGCTGATTATCTAAGAAAGCATCAAATAACTCATAAAGGTAATTATTGTATTCCTTAACTAGCTCCTTAAATTAACAAACTGGAACTTTTCTTACAGATGAATATCCATATCCATGCACAGTTTGTAATCAGAAGTTCAAGTGGCTGACATCCCTTCAAGCACACAACATGATTCACACACAGAATAAAACGATGGTTCAATGTAAAGAATGCTTCAAGCGATTTTTTAATCAAAGGACACTTGAAAGGCACATGAATATCCATAAGAATATAAAATATAATTGTAAGATTTGCAATTCAGTCGTTAGTACTCGAAAAGACAATATAATGAGACACATTCGTCATCTTCATACTGACATTCCAAGAAATGAAGTGTCCAATCACATTGTAACTGTCGAAGACAGCATTAAAGTCCACGAGACTGTAAATGTTAATCAAGAGATTGATGAGATCGAAATAACAGACGATGATGAGTCAAATGACTTAATAATTGATGAATCTGTGCAGGAGGAAGCAGAACAAGAAATTATACTTGATATTCAGCCACAATCAGTTATAAATAATCGCGTGAATGTAATTCAATCCATTGGGAATCCAAATAAAAATCAAATTAATCAACAACAAGCACCTCAAAGCATTACGAAGAGTAATGATGAAAAATCAATAGACAACAAAGAGACTGAAACGACTACTTCAAATACTAGCCAAGTAATAAACGACATAAGCAATCACAATCAATCTGGCAAAATTGATACAGAAATTCCACTGCCACCCAAAAAGAAAGCAATTGCTAAATATAATCCAATTGAACACTACAGAAAAATTCTGGGTCTCTCAGAAACAAATACCTCAAGTACATCAAAAGAAAGTGAAGAGTCATCAGAGCCTGTTTTTCCAGATCATTGGAGAAAGAGAACATCACAGAATTTCTTATTTAGGCGCTAAAGAGGTTTGATGACTATCTTGTGGCATCTTTATCAGCTTTTAATGAATACACGTGAGCTTAACTATTCACTTTAGGGCTGGTGGGATTTTTGAAAATTTATAACTGTCGTTTTTGATTTGAAAATGAGTTTTAAAAAATCTGTAAAAATTTTGAACCTTATTTCAAATTCCCAAGAACCGTTATAAATTTTGAACTTAAGTTCAAATTTCTATAAACCGTTGCACATTTTGAACTTTAATTCAAATTACAAAAAACCGTTGTGAATTTTGAACTTTAATTTAAATTCCAAAAAATGTTTGAAAAAATTTAACTCAATTCCTAAACATTTGACTGATCAGACCACCAACAGCTCACATAAAGTCATCAACCTCTCGAGACCTCTTCATTTACACAATCAATAACCTTTATGATATTAATGACGAACAGGTGCATTTAACTTTTGTATTTAATCAATCCTATTTCATAATAACATGCCGAGCATCCGTAAATGAGCGACGAAAAAAAATTAACCAAGTGAATCGTTGCCCGAGAAACTTATTTGTGTATATCACAAGAAGAAAGTCAAATTGAATAGAAATGTAGAGAAAGGCTTTAAATTATGCAATATCAAAAAATTATACCAGTCGATTTGAATGATAAAAAAATAAATTTAACATTTTTTTATTGCTTACTTTTAAATCTTAAAATCAAAACAAATTCCTTAATTTACATAAATTGATGTTATCTTTTCTAAATGCCAAATTATCAAAATAATGGAATGTTAAAAATGTGAAGATGCTTTCTATCTATACTTTCTTAGCTGTAGGACTCGCAACTTGCTGATTATTACTTTGAACTGGTGCTTGTAGCTGTTGAGTAGGCTGTTGACTAACTGGAGGTCTGTTGATCACTCTTGGATCTAATGGCAATTGACCGAAAGGTCGTTGAACTCCTTGTTGCTGTTTTTGATTTGGCACTTGACTTACTGGCTTTTTAAGATCATTAACATGGAATCCGTTCTTATCAACAAAGAATTTTACGTCCATAGGAGCATTATTGACATTGAGAGTGACAACGCCTGTTCGGAAGAAATTCTCCTCTGTTGCGACTTCATACTCTGTGAATTTTAATAGATGTGTTAATTAAATTAAGCCCTCCTAAGTAGGAATTATCATTTTCGTACCTCTAACAGACATGCCAACATAATCAAAATCATTAAGTGGAATTTCGTAAACAACTGTGTGGTATCGTCTGTCTGATGTTCTTAATGTGTATGATCCTTCAATTGATGCAAATTGATTGCGGTTGATGATGAATTGGACAAAGTTCTCTCCATTCTTTAAGTAGCTCCTGATAAAGTTGAAGAAAATTTTAAAAAGTCGTTAAATTTATTAACAGATCCAAAACTTACACTTTTAAGTTCTGCTTGCCAATATTTGCGAAACTTGGGAAAATCTCACGAACTGGACCGAAAGGTGCTGGAGATTTCTTTATTATAGGTTCAGACAAAATTTTTCTTTCGGCATTTTGTCCCAAATTGTGGAAGATTCCAATTCCATTTGAACTTATGCTGTATTCAATTTCAAAGCCATTTCCATTGGTCACAAAATTAAGTTTATTAGTTACATTAAAGCTTGACTCATCGCTTACATAAGGGTCTGAAATGAGATGAAAATCGGAAATTAATTATGTAAAAATCATTTTAATCAACAACAAAGGGAGCGGAACTTAATTGTGACTAGCTTGTCTTTATTATTTTATTGATTTTATTTTCTGCTGGATATTAAATATGCTCTGCAGGTGAAATTGAAGCTCCAACAGTGAATTTTATTCACTTGAACATTTAAAATCATTTTCAAACTTAATTTGAGATGATTGAAATTATTTATGAATCTTATAATCGTAAGTAAATTAGTTCAAAGTCTGAAGGTTTTAAATCTTTAATTTATCACTTTTAAAAAATCTTCAAACTTGAATGTTACATAGCAAACTGGACGTGCGTTAGCTCTAGATTTTTCACAGTTATCCAAATATCTTGAATATGGTCTAAGAAATTACAGCTGTTTAATAAATTCACGACAATTTTAAGATACTTGCACTAAGTATTCACTGTTGTGTCGCTCGTGCCACTTGCAACTAGCTCTCAACTTAGAAAAACAATCGAGCACATCACCCAACTTACTTGTAAATTCATATTTTCCGTTTTGGACATAATAATACACAGTTTCGTAGAAACATCTCTCATCCTTAAAAGTATATTGACCAAAGACTCTTGCATCATCAGGATGCTTGTACATAACTACAGCTTCTCCATTTGATAATCCTTGACTTTGAATAAAAAATTAAATTTTAGTCACGATCATTTTCAGACTGAACATTCTGAATTTTTGGAACTCTTTAATCCTAGACAGTTAATTTCATGAAGTAACACAGCACTTAGGAATGCTATTTTGACAATATTGTTGTAAAATTAGCTGTTTGATATAGATCAAAAACAAACTCGTGAATTTCTAATCTTAAGCATTGAATAAAGTGATTAGTGATGTTTTGAGGCAATTGCTAGGCCATATCCTGGCCAACATAAGCCCATTGTCAATTAAAAATCATAATCTAAGGTTAATTTAAATTTTAACTCTCAAAACACAAAACAGACTTTAAAAAAAGTACCACAAACTAAAATCATTGATCAAAGAGTTCCAACTGACTATCCAATTCCAATTTCTCACATGTAAAAGAATCCATTATCAAAAAGCAAATAAAGTGGATTCTGGAACTGCACATTTCTGTCTCTTTCACATGTTGAACTAGCACTGGCAATAAAAATTGCTAAAATCACTACTGCACTTCTAATCAACATTTTTTTTATCTCTTATTTTTTAATATCCAATGTGTATAGCACAAAATGCAAATTTAAACTAACGAACATCAAAGCGCCACCAGCAGCTTTAATATCATTTTATAGCCAGCATGTTCAGGAGGTCTAATTTTTAAGAGCATCGTGTATAGTGGTGGAAGAAGAAATAATTTTTTTGGAGATGACATTTTCCTCTCTTTCATCTTTTTTAAGGTCTAATTTATTTAAAAACTGTTTATTTATTGATTGCTTTTTGTCTGTCTGTTCGACTTATTGTTTCAAAAATGGAGCGATTATTTTTTTTTAAAAAACTACAGCTGTTTTTAAAAGTTTCACAAATTAGACCTTTTTAACTAGATGCGCTTTAGTCACTTATTTGCTACTATATCCAATATAGCTTCGATACAATTCAAACACTAAAGTCGATGGCAGAAGAGCAGCAACGTAATTACTTTATATCGAGTGTCTCATACAATGTTGTTAAATGCGGTATAGACACAGAGAAAGAAGAAAGCAATAATACATAATCATATGTATGGTAAGTAGGTGTTATGATGAGCAGAAAAAAACCCAAAATTAGATGCTGGAATGTTTAAAACATTTATTTTTATCGAATATTCCTCAAGTTGGATGCAAACGAGATGAATGAGCATACATCATACACAGATAAGCTTAGTTTGAAAACGCCTACATGCTTTTATTACTTTTAAGTAGTTATTAACATTTATCATTATTCGATAAATTTGATTTTCTTTTGTTTACAACTTTTTATGGCTTTATTGTTTTTTAAAGAGAGATTTAACATCAAATGAATTAGGTTTTATTGACATTTGTGATTTTTCAGTTCAATTCAATATTCAGCTAGCTGCATTTTTGTCATTTAGAATTAGATTTGAAAAAAGGTCCAAAAACTTAATTTATAAGCTCAAATTTTGTCAAAAAGCTATTCATAATCCGCTTCAATTAACAAGAATCTTCAATTCGAAACTTTAATTGTCAAAATAATTAGAATAACACCAAAAATCAAGTCAAGTAGTTCATTACATCATCAATCATCAAAACCAAGACATGATTGATAATTGACACATTTTTCTACACATTTTGGTTTCTCAGTCAATTTGATACTTATGCTCAGATTCCAGAGGCTTCACGTAACCATTCATCATTATGCAAAGTCATGTCCAATCCACATCAAAGTATTAATTGCATCTCTGACAGGCTCGTTTATTCAATAAACATCGAACAATATCTATTTACACCTTTTAGTGAGGATTTAACTCATAAAATGACTCAATAGAGAACCTATTATTGCCGATGTGTTATGAAAATTAAGAAATTGATGAGCTTTACAAAGGCTTAATGGTGATTTAAAAGACGATTCACACAGCTGAGTACACATGAACAGATTTATTAATTAAAGAGGCTCTCTCAATTTAATTGATAGTCTCTAAATTGATCACTTTAATGCGGTATAAAGGGAAGATAGAAACTGCTTGATAGGATTGATTGTTTAGAGCGCATTTTGTACGTTTTTGAAATATTTCAGAAGCGAAGCTAGAGTTTTTGATAGGTTGATCTCGAGCTCTAGATGCTGTATCTCCATCGTCTCTACTTCTCATTCCACATCAGACACGTTGCAATAAATTTTCTCAACACTGAATTGAGGTTATGTAATAAGAGACTGGTCAACTTTAGTTCCCAGATCCATTCAATAACCTTTCTTTAAAGTTCAGTTTCGCTGAAACAATTGGAACTGAGCAGTGACACTTTTTTTTGACATACCCTAACCTAGAATCAAAAATCCACGTGGTAAATATAACATTTTAATAAAGCAGAGTTTGACTAGAGTTGGATATAGTACACTAGATCCTATTGTCATTCAGGCTCCCTGTATCGTTCAGAGGTTCATGCTCCAGTGGATGATTCTGAGCCTCACAATAGTGTGCCGCGAAGCAAAGTTTGAGAAGAACTGATCTAATTACAAAAACCTAAAATCGCCTGAACCTGATTTTTATAGGATTACGTCTCATCTCAGTAAAACCATTGTAAACATTTCACTATCCGGACTGACTTGCCAATATCCAGCCGTAAGACAGCCAACCAAACTTAATAACAACATCTTCAGTCTCGTTTAAATGCTTGCACTTAAAACTGGTTTGAATGCTCAATTTCAATGCATAGATTTGATAAAAGAGAGACAAAAAGCATAAACAAAGATTTAAATTCAAATGCGATGGGAGGCAAAGAAGATGGGAAATGGATAGAAAGTGAGAAAAAGAGACATTTTTATGCAAAAAAGTTAGATTCCTCACACAAATCCTATTACGCAATCTGATTATTCAAGCTGGTCAAGATGATTTTATTTTCGGATAGCACGTAAAGTGTTAATATGCCTAGTTATGCAACAATTGAAGATCACTGACATTTTAATTATTTCTGTATGATCAGTTACTTTAAGTCGCAAGTGTTGTTTACATTGTTGACCTGATTTATGCAGCCGTGAGTATCAAATATTTCAAAAATGCTAGGCATCACGTGCGGAAGAAGAGTATGTAGCTAAGAAAATGAAACAAAAATCAAGTTTAAGTTCATTGTTTCACTCTGATCGCGTCTATCGATATTTTTAGACTACAACTAATTTTTCACCCGCGCAAATGTGCTGCTCACAGTATTTTTCTCTTTTCTTTGAGAGGCACACAAGAGAAGATCATTCTGAGGACAATAAGGTATCATTAAGTAATGATGTCTTCTAAAGTATGCTCTTTGGTAAATCATTTCTTAAGAACATTTTGTAGAACTTGGAAATGTGGTCTATAAATCTAATTATAGATAGACATCATTTATAAACTACCCTAGTGGTCTCTTGAGATTTTTTTCAATTAGCGAGAAAAGTATGAAAATATTTTTATTGTGTCGTTGATAATTAGAGTGAGTTTTATGCAAACAGCGATCGATGAACTTGTTATTTAATTTTTTTGTTACTCTAGTTCGGAAGCTTAAATTTGATACTCACGATGCAACTTGGTTGCTAAAGTAGCTAGCGCCAGTGTAAAATGTTTTGTGTCAGCTAATTGGATTAATTGAATCCAATGTTAGCAAAGAGAACAGAGTCCGTTACAAACAAAAAAAAAATCAAAATTTCCGCACGGTATTTTTTTAAAATTTCAAAATAAGAAAGTCCGTTACTTTTTATTTTTTTTAAACTAGCTGTTTTTTAAAGCATAAACATTTAAGGAATGGAATTTTATCACAGTGATTATCTTAATCACAAAAACTAGTAGGAATGTTCACTAAAATTACAAATTACTCGAAAAATAATAATTCATAACGAATTTTTTTAAAAATAAGAACTTCGAAGATTCGATTTTCGAAAAATAAGAACCTCAAAAATTCGAAGTTCGAATAATAAGAACTCAAAAATTTCTGTTTAAGTTTATTAAAGCCAATCTAAATATGAATATTTAACAGTTGAAGTAATAATAATTATAATAACAATGAATGTAATATAGATGGCACTGCAATTGCAGTTGGTGTAATCAAATGACAATTAACTGAATATAAATTAATTATGTAATAGTAAAAGTTGTATGATAAATCGATCAAAAATTAGCTTGACGATTGAACTAACGGTCGAAAAATATTTGAACTTTATAACGGACATTTTGAATTTAAATATGTTGTTGTTTTAAAATTAGTACTAAAAACAATAATATTTGTAAACAAGAGGAATTATCTAATTAAAACAGTGATAATTAAATCAGTGAATAGTGGATATAGGTGATTCCATCGGTAGATGTGTGGGCATTTACGAAATTCGATGCGTCTGGAGTTGGTCTGGAGATAGCAGAAGGTCAATTTTTTCCAATAGGTAACTCTTTACTGCAACTTTAAATTTATTTAAATTTTTCATTGCTTTTAGTTCGGTGCTCAGCTGATTATAGAGGATTGGACCAAGATAGCTGATGTCAGTTCCTATATGCCTTTTTCTTGAAAAGCTGCCAGGTCTCACATCTCCAGAAGATCTTCTATTATTGTTATAGACTTCAAAATCGAGTAATTCCTCCATATCAAGTAGAAGTGACTTTTTCAGATTGATGATTAACGCAGCATAGACTATCCCGATCACAGGCAATGATTTGTGCTCATATGAGATGAATAAGTCTACAGTTGAATGGCAAGAGTCAAGATTAAAAATCATTTTTATGCACCTATTTTGAAGTCTCTGGATCCTCAGTATGTCTTCTTTAGTAAATTTCAAGATTAAGAACGAGCAGTAATATAGATGGGACATTACATGAGCATGGTAGAATTGGATGAGCATTTCTTGAGGTAAGTGATGTCTGATTATGGAAAGAGCCCTGCATGACTGAGTTAATTTGTCTATTAACAGTGAACAATGTTCCTTGAAGTTGAGTTTCTCGTCGATTTGTATCCCCAAAAATCTATGTGACGAAACTCTGCTGATTTTAATACTGTCTAAAATTGTAGTTTCCATTGGAAGTTCCACTAGATCATTATTTCGTATTATCATTAACTTCGTTTTTGAGAAGTTCACTTTTAATCCACTACTCTCAAAATAGGCGTTCATAGTTTCCATATCATCTGATACTTCTTTTAATACTGATTGTACATTTTCTTTTTTGCAGGATCTATAGATGACATAATGCTAGCATTGGAATTGAACAAGACAATCGTTAAGTGTAATAACGTTCATTTGTGATTTAAGTTGTATTTACTTTTAACATAGTTGTAACATATTATAACAAGGGGGGGGGGGGGGGGGGGTGAAAAAGTCGTTTTTTGCGTAACGTAATAAGTGAACCAAATTTTGATCCAAATTATTTGGACAAGGTTTAATGGTGTGGACTCAATCGCGTATTCCCAACCCCTTCAAATTCCTGGATCCGCCCCTATGTAGAACTAATGTGAATTTCTAGCTAAAATATTTTGATTAAGAAAATCTGTTGTTAAGTTTCACAAGTTAAAAAAGCTCGCTCATTACACCGTAAAATTTTAAAGCTACTGAAATAAAAACATCAAAATGGTTTGAATATTCAAAAAAACGTTAAATTCTCAAAAAATCACACTCAATTTAAAAACTTTCCCTTTCACGAGAAACGCGCGTTAAAAAAATGTTTTTGCGAAGGTCATGAGAAATAAAAATGTTCAAAAAATAATTTTGGCACACGCCTCTGCTCATCTGTTTAGTCTGCTATAAATCGCCCGACAGTCAAAATGGTCCTCGAAGTCGCTTCACTGACTAATGAAAATTTCCTTAATGAGCTTCAAGAGAGTGCAGCCAAAAAGGATTGGAAAAATATCCTTAAGATAAGTAAAAGATATGGATTCGCGATAAGTACGATCGCATTGTGGGTGTTTCCATCGGAATTTTGTCTGCAGCAGATGAAGACCACGCTGAAAAGTTTAAATATTTCAAATATTTTAAGTGTCGGCTGTGGAATTGGATTATTGGAATTTATCATACGTGAAAGTGTTGGCGTCAAGATGAGCGGACTTGAAATAGATTCAAAATATTGGAGTCGTAAGAAGCCATTCATAAATCTCAAATTTGTTGAGCATGGTCAGGAACTATCATCAAAATTAATCTTAGACACCTGCCTTAGTAAGAATTGGGACTTTGCTCTTCTCTTTTGCTACTTCAACCTCCGTCGTGCATTTAATGAATACATCAAATATTATAAAGGCAACTATGTGATCATAATTGGACCGGCTGCAAATACAGGACGATATACAGACCCACTACCATTAGACTTTCAAGACAATGAGGAATTCCAGCTGGTACATCTTAGTGACTTTGGAGATAATCGTGACTTACTAGCTATTTATGAGAGGAAGAACAAAAAGTTTGCTGTGTGAAAGTGAAAATTATTTAAAATTAAAATAAATAGAAATAAAAATAAATTTTTAAAATAAACCAAATTCAAAAATAGTAGAATTGGCATGTGGTCATTGTTGACATGTTTACAACGATAATTAGTTTCTGGGTTGTTTAAAAGTATTAAAATGTAGAGACAGGAAATCTTTTAAATTATCTCAACGTGGTTGCTTGTTGATGATTTATGTAATTATTTTTGAACTTCTTGGATATGGGAGTGTGTCAAGGTCTAAGCTTCGTTTGATCCATACTTATTTCACTTCGATAAACGGACAGATTTATTGAGATCCATGGCTTTCCTTAGATGTCACCGAAACTGACTCTATCGCTAGCTACGGTTTGCCAATTTCTTATTCCAAATGCAATACTATCTCGATTGATTAAGGCTCATTGGTATTGAAAATGAAGCAACAGAACCTAGCCAAGGAAGGATTTGAGCAATTTTATCATAAGCCTGAGTAGCAGATTCTATCCCACCTCAATCCGACTTGTGCTACTCGTGAGGATAACTATCAACCCTAGAGTATGATTGAAACTAGAAACCGGTCCCTGAATGATCTTCTAGAAGTCAAGAAACAATCTTGTTCCAATTGTTATGGTTTTAAAGCTATCGCAAAAAATATGCTGAAAATTCCTTTCATAAAAATTAAAATAAACCATTATTCCTAGTACTTCCCATAATGATATTGCACAGCATAAAACCCCAACCAACAAAAATATGTCTCTTATTTCCATATTTTTTTATTATTGAAAGTTGGATATTATTGCTCATAGTGAGTGCATTAAAAATGTTATCAGTGAAACTTTTTCATTATTTTCAAAAATGTTTTTCCACCCTTTTTGCTGTTCCAGCTATCGAACAGTGCATAATATAATAATTGAGCTTTTTAAAAGTATAAAAAAAAACTTTATGAACTGAACAAACATTGGAAATTGTTAATTACCTTACCAGGATCCATGTAAAACAAATATTTACAGTTTGCGGGACGAGCTGCAATGATTGTGTTTGTAGATAAAATTAACTGTTGATGAATAAATCATGATTTTGTTGGTGCTTTTTCACTTCCTGTGAAAAGAGTTGTTTGATTATTTATTAAATTATGTAAAGCATGACAGAGGGTATTAAGGTTGCATAAATTTGCTGAAGCTTTTGATGGAAAATTTTACTGATTGAAGTGATTGATTGAAAAATTTATTGGTAAATTTACATTACTCTATAAAAAATAGTTCCTTGAAGTTTGTAACGTAGATTTGAAATCTAAAATTTTAATGAATTTTTTAGATTCAAACCTGATACGAACAAATCAAGAGTTTCGACCGTTACACTTTCCAAGAACACTTGAAAAAATGTCTTATTTGTCTGTCTGCCATGCAAAATTCGAAGTTTCATACCCTGCAGTTCGAAATTTTCGAAAATTAGGAAAAAATGAAAACTTAAATTAAGCAATTTTTTCATGAATTTTACAGGGGGGGGGGGGGGGGGGTACAGAGCAAAAATTGCTATGAAAAAAAACCCAAAAATGTTTACTCTGATGAAATTTCTAAGTACTCCACAAACGAAATTGAAAAAGTCAAATTTAAAGGAACTGAAGCATCAAAGTAAAAATTTTTGGATGTCAAAAGGTCTTAAATCATGATTCTCATCACCAATACAAAGTGGAGTACTTGGAAATTTCATCAGAGTAAACATTTTTGGGTTTTTTTTCATAGCAATTTTTGCTCTGTCCCCCCCCCCCCCCCCTGCATAAATCTATAAAAATAGTTCCTTGAAGTTTGTAACGTAGTTTTTAAATTCAAAATTATAACGAATTTTTAAAATTCAAACTTGTAACGTACTTGCCAAATTCAAACATTTTTGAAGAAATTTCAAATTTCGAACAAACTTTTAAGCTAGTCAAAAACTATATTCCCAACATTACACAACTAGATCAAGTACAAAGACATTTCCTTCCTCGCAAGGTTTTATGAATGCTTTATGCAAAACTATTTTTAGTTCATATCACATCAGTTCAACAGTACGCCTGCATACTTGTCAAAGAAGCACTTTCAAATAATTTCATAAAAGATTACAAGTTTCAATAGAGTTAGTAAAGAAAGCAATATGCTGAAACTGAAACTTTAAGAACATTATTACATTTATTACTTTCAAAGCTTGTTTGATAATTTTCTTATAAAAAAAACTTATATTGTTCAATAAGTTCTGAAGATTGAACGTTGAAGTATTTTGAATATTGTTCCTTGAACTTATTCTTTACTTGGATATCCGCAGACGAAATATAATAAAATGATATTACCATACAAAGTATGCAAGTTGAATTTATGAAACTATTATCAACAATTTCTGATTTATTCAGATATGCAAAGGAGCATTGATATAAGAACTGAGCATCCTCGAAGCTGAATTCCCGAAACTTATTTGACGCAACAATATTGAGGTTGAGAAATCTCAGTGTTTGTCCAGATCTACATATTTTCTTTGTCTTATTATTCTTCTTACAACTGTTCCAGATTTTCATCTACTTAAAGTAATCAAAACAGTCATTCCAGACCATAATCAGTTAATTACCAAGTTAACAGGACTTAATATATTCCCAAAAGTATAATCTTTGTGTACACTTTGCCTATATATACTTAAAGCATAGAATATTCATCCTAATGTGCTCATGTAGCAGTAGCAAAAAGAAGAAAAAAGTTTTTCATTTTAGAAATAAAAATTTCCTTAAATATTCATTATTATCATCATCTCCTCCTTTTTTTACATTTTCTTTTTTGTTTATTGTCATTGTTATTCTTTTCAATCTTTCTCATTTTTATGCTGGAACACAATAAATAAAAAAAGATATGAGTAAGGGATTTAAGAATCGGAGTTGGTTGATGAATGAAGAGCATTTCAAACAAGTTTTTAACAATTTGAATTTTTCGAAGATTTTCGCGCCAAATTTTTTTATTATTCTTTTCTTCAGTTAAATCTTGAAACTAGTTAACTCATTAAACTTAAAACTATTGAATCAAAATTAATACATTTCAAAGAAAGCACTCTCTAACAGACAAAGAGCGTGCTCTTGATCAAGAGTACAGTTGAGAATACGCTTTTTTAACATCCTCTCAAGATCTCAGTAAAGAGCATGTTCAATAGCGGACTCAACCATCCTCCAATTACAAATAACTTGCGTGCAAGTTTTTACTTCATAATCGTTTATATTCTCTCAAAAGCATGATCAGAAGAGTATATAAAAAGTATGATCATTCACATCCTCATGAGATTATGCTCAAATTTTTCTTGCTATATACTTCACAAGCGCTAGCAGAAATCACTAGTGTAGGTCCTATATACTTCACAAGAGAAAGCAGAAATCACTTTTATAAGTAATTATTTTGGATTTTGTATAGTTTAAATATGTCTTTTCGTCATTTGAAAGGTATTTAATTTCAGAAGCCATTAGACAAGATGAACAGTTATTAAAAACATGATCAAGAGCATAATCACAAGCTCATAAAATTTTTTAAATAGTAAAATTAAAGCATGCTCAGCAGAACATGTTCTTGATCATGATTTCAAGTTTTACTTGCATGAAAAATTTGCAAGTAAAAAAGCGTACTCTTGAGAGCGTGATTTCTATGGTACCCTGCTGCAATCTCCATTTGTATGGGAGAGTACGCTAATTTAATGTCATCAAATTAAAATATTGATTTATAAAAATCATGCTCAGATCGTGCTCTTTGTCTGCTAAGTACTTAGTCTGCCACTTCTATACTAGCACAGAAAATCTTAAAAGTAGCTTAAATGCACATGCCTTATTTATCTTAATAATTCACCAACAAAATTGAAAACAAACACGAAATAAAACAAAACAAAAGAAAATCTCATTTTTTTTATTTGCCTGTTTGCCTACCTCTTCTTCCTATTTCATCATCTGAATAACGTGAACAAATATAATCGAAAAATAAAGAGGAAAACTTTTCATTTCTTGTATTTCCTTCTTCCTTGTCTTTTCATATTCCCAACAATCTTCATTTCACGTACAGGCAATGCTGCTCATGTATGCGAAAACTGTACAGCACATTAAAATATTGAGGAAGATGTGAAGCTACACAAAAAAAATAACTGCCCGTCAATGTTATATGTTTTGATGCTAAAAATAGATACAGAGTGCCGGATGAGTGGGCGTAAAGGAAAGTACGATTGAGTAAGTGAGCGAGAAGATATGAGAGAGAAAGAGAGAATAAATAGGTTATGTGTATTTTGATTATAGTACTGCTGTTGCTGCACACAATTTGCTGTTGCTTTTCCCTCGTATTTTTTGTCTTCATCCTTCTCAAAATGCCTCGAGACAGCTTGACTGCATAGAAAAAAAGCTCTCAATGATTGAAAATGAAAACAATGACTAATGATGGACACTTGTTGAAGCTAATGATTGATTTTAGCCTTAGGGATGATGTCGATGTTGACCTTCCAACCATCATTGGTAAGTCCTTGACATTACAACTTCCACAAAAACCCCAAAAAGTTAATTATTTTCACCACAAAACGAGAGAATTTTCCACAAATTTCCCCAGTTTTTCCTTTCACCAATACACTCACATGATTTTAATCAGTAACTGCCGTCATTGTGAGAGAAATTTGAGAGAATTTTCAATTGAGAGAATTATTTTCTTATCAGACCGACCAGAAAGCAACTAGTTATAATGTATAAAATCGTGTGGAATTCTTCCAACACAGGTTGTTCTCGAGTAGCTTTCGTATAGTCACAAAGCACAAAAAGCATACGCGCATCGCGACTTAAAGACATATTAAAGGACATTTCATTTATTTTGATTATTTTTAAAAAAATATAAAATTGGTGAATTTTTTTCTTTTAATTTTTTTTGAGTGAATTTGTGAAAAAAAAATAAAATCGATTGTGGATTAATTAAAAAAATGTGAAATCAACAAGTTGCATGTGTAATTATTTTTTCATGACAAAAAAAAGAACCTGAAAAAAAAAGTTGAGGAAAAAAAATCAA